GGTGCTGAGGAATCGAACCCAGGGCCTCAGGCATGCAAGGCAAGTGCTCTACCACTGAGCCACCTTTCCAGCCCAGATTCCATATTTTTTAACCATGATCCTCATGTGAGAATTAAATCTTACATCAGACTCTGGTGATTGTATACATGAACTCCCAGTCTCACAAGTTTCTGATTATATCCTTTTCTTCTCAAAAGCCTTTTAGACACTATCTTCCAAGTGTATTCACTCAACCATTTTGAAACCATCCTTTCTTTCCCATACACAATGCCAATATTCTAATCTACTCATTTGAAGCATACTCATTTTATACTTACATTGTACAGGCACTTAGATACTAGTTACTGGTTTTAAATACTAGAACAGTACTGACGATATTATATTATGCAAAAAGATCTGGTCTCTTTAGGAATTTACAATCTAGTAGGAAAGAAATGCAAAAGAACAGATAGAGGCTTTCAAAATAGCATGTTATGACAGGTACCATGTGTGGCCTGGCAGAAGAGGGCATTTATCTTAATTTTGGCCATTTCCTTATGGAAGTAAAGTTTAGAATGAGATCTGAGAACTGAAATCTGGAGGCAAGAGAAAGTACTGTGTTTAGGGAACTAAAAGTCATCCATTAAGGCTTGGGTGGAAAATGCAAGGCTTGTGAAGGAGAACTTTTTTTTTTTTTGGGTCCAGTCGTGGGGCCTGAACTCTGGGCCTGGGCACTGTCCCTCAGCTCTTCAGCTCAAGACTAGCACTCTACCACTTGAGCCACAGTACCACTTCTGGCTTTTTTCTTTTTGCTTATGTGGTGCTGAGGAATTGAATCCAGGGCCTCAGGCATGCAAGGCAAGCGCTCTACCACTGAGCCACCTTCCCAGCCCCTGAAGGAGAACTTTTGATGGAGATAATTAGAAGCCAGCTCCTACAACACTTTGAAAGCCAACTTAAGGAATTTGGATTTTATCTTAACAATAAGAAATTGGCTTTAAGCTAGGAAAGAATGATTACTTTTGTAGTTAAGATTATCTTGACTAGAGTTAGGAGGTAGAGGTCTGGAGACCACATATAGAATACAGTTCTAGTCTATATAGGAGTTGGTGGGCTAATAGAGGGAAAGGAGGAAAAAAGCTAGGTTGAAAAGAAATAAGATGGCAGAATGGATAGAACTGGGTTATTGGTTGACTGTGATGTTCTCCCCAGGACTGAGTCCTGAGAGGAACTAAAGGGCCTTAAGAAGAGGCATCCAAAAAGGCCAGAGGGGAAACCAGGGCAGTTTTAGTGTTGTATGAACTTTGATAAAGTTATCACTTAATACTCTGCTGAAAAGTCAAGAATCAAACAAGAAATATAAAGGGGCCCTCTAGTCTTCCTTGAAGAAGGTTACAAAGTAGCAACCCCAATAAAAGTTGGTATAGTGGGTGCATCTAAGCAAGTGGCTGTGAGTAGATTTTGCAAGTATCCATGATTTACTGGAGAAGTTTGTAGCTAAACATTGTATCAATTAAAGGGATTTTTTAAAATTGTTGTTACTAGCTGTTGGTCACTAGTAACAATTACTAGCCATTACAGGCTCACAACTGTAATCCTAGCTACTCTGGAGGCTGAGATCTGAGGATCACAATTCAAAGCCAGCTTGAGCAAGAAAGCCATTGAGACTCTTATCTCCAGTTAAACTGGAAGTGATGCTGTGGCTCAAAGTAGTAGAATGCTAGCCTTGAGGAAAAGAACTCAGAGACCAGTACCCAAGCTGTGAGTTCAAGCCCCACAACCAACAAAATAAATTGTTGTTACTATTTTGTTATTTAGATCTCTGATTTATAGTTTTCCACTTAGCCTTTAAAAAAAATTTGGAGTACTTGTGTTAAACACAGGACCTCACACTTATTAGAACAAGTATTCTACCACTTGATCTATGACGTAGTCCTTTTTGCTTTAGATTTTTTTTGCCAGTCCTGGTGCTTGAACTCAGGGCTTGGATACTGTCCTTGAGCTTCTTTTGTTCAAGGCTAGCACTTCACACTTGAACCACAGTGCCACTTCCAACCTTTTCTGTTTATGTGGTACTGAGGATTCGAACCCAGGACTTCATGCATGCTACCACTAGGCTATATTCCCAGCCCTCCTTTAGATGTTTTTGAGATAGGGTCTTGAATTTATGCCCAGGCTGTCATGGACCATAATGCTTCTATTTATGTTTTCAACATAGCTCCTTAAATATATTCCTGAGTACATACTTCATTTGTGATTTGTGCTCTTGTAAGTTTGGTAGTCCTCCTCCTCCTCCTCCTTTTCTTCTTCCTCCTCCTTCTGTATGTGTGTGCTTGCGCACACATGCCTGTGTGTATGAGTGTGTGTGTGTGTGTGTGTGTGTGTGTGTGTGTGTGTGTGTGTGTGTGTGCCATTATTGGACTTGATATCAGAGCCTCACATTCTTACTCCACTTTTGAGCTTATGGCTGGTGCTCTAACACATGAGCCATACCTCCCCTTCCAGCCTTTTTGGGTTAAATGGAGATAAAAATTTTATTGGATTTGCCTGCCCAGATTGGCTTTGAACTTTGATCCTCAGATCTCAGCTTCTTACGTAGCTTGGAGTATAGGCACCCAGCACCTGGTTTAGTAATTGTTTTTAAATTTCAAATTCCAGTTGTTCATTGCTGGAATATGGGAAAGTGTTGGCCTTTTGTATTTGTTCCTTGTATCCTGTAATTTTGCTGTCATTACTTGTTAGTTTACAGAAAACTTTAAAAAATCTGTCTTTGGAGATTTTCTGCATAACCAGCCATTTGCTGGTTTTTAGCTCATTCTTTTTGTTTTGTTTTGTTTTGTTTTTTGGGTCCGGTAGTGGGGCCTGAACTCTGGGCCTGGACGCTGTCCCTCAGCTCTTCAGCTCAAGGCTAGCGCTCTACCACTTGAGCCACAGCGCCACCTCCGGCTTTTTTCTTTTTGCTTATGTGGTGCTGAGGAATTGAACCCAGGGCCTCAGGCATGCAAGGCAAGCACTCTACCACTGAGCCATCTTCCCAGCCCCTAGCTCATTCTTTTTGGTCTGTACACCTTTTCTTTTATTCCTTATATTGCATTAGCAAGGACTTCCCTTAGGATGGAATAGTATCGATGAGAGAATATCTTTGCCTTGTTTCTATACCTCTCAATCTTAATGCATCAATTTTTTCCAGCCATTAAGTAATATGGTAGCTGTAGGGCATTTTTTGTAGATATTCTTTATCCAAATTGAGATATTTTATTGAGACGGTTTTTTTAATCCTTAGATTGTTGTTGAATTTATTCACTATTTTGTTTAGTTGTTGTTTCATTGATTTTTGAGGTGGAAGAAGTGTTAGGACCAAAACCAGTGCCTTGCAATTAATCACATTAATTACTTAGTGTATATCAATTGTACTAAGCAATGTGTTTCATGGTTTTGTTTTATGTATGTCTTCATACATGAATGTAATGTTCTTTGGTCATATTCATACATCATTGCTCTCTTTTATCCCCACTCCTGTTTGGTGTCCTATTTGGTTCTGTATCTTCTGAGCATCTATTTGGTTCTGTATATCCTGAGCGTCTGCCAGGGATATTTTTTTCAAGTGCTGGATTTGAAGGATTTGAAGGGAATTTATACATTATATAGTTTTTTGTTTGTTTGTTTGTTTTTGTTGGTCATGGGGCTTGAACTCTGGGCCTGGGCGCTTTCCCTCAGCTCTTCAGCTCAAGGCAAGCACTTGAGCCACAGTGCCACTTCTGGTTTTCTGGTAGTTTATTGGAGATAAGAGTCTCATGGACTTTCCTGCCTGGGCTGGTTTTGAACTGTGATCCTCAGATTTCGGCCTCCTGAGTAGCTAGGATTACAGGCTTGAGCCAGTGCCCAGCTACATTGTAGATTTTGGGACCTGCCCTCTTATACTTCCAATCTTTAAGTTTTTTTTCCATCTCAGTTTCCAGCAACTCCGGTAGCCTTAATCTCTGTTTTCCAGTTCTTCAGGCATAAAATACAATTGATGTCTATCTGCTCATGTTCTGTCTACCTTAGGATGTACAGACTGGGATGGACCTTAGCTATATCCACCTGGATTAAAGCTTGTGTAGAGATTGAACTCCCAAGGATTCAAACCCTTTTGGGTCTGTGTCTGCTTTTTATTGTTCTCTGGTGTTTTGAAATATTTTGTTGAAAAGTTGTCATTATTGGCAGGAGGTCTAGACAATGTGAGTTATCCCACCATTACCAGAAGCAGAGTTTGAGGAAACCGAAGAAATTAGACTTTTTTCAGGACAGAAGATTTTAAATGGAAGAATATTATATTCTAAGAGCTAATACTTTGGTGAGATTAAAATGGGAATGGCTTTAAGATGAATTGGTAAGAAGGCAAGGGAAGCCTATTTGTTTTGAACTTAGTGCCTCACACTTGCTAGACAGTAACTTTACCACTTGAGCCAGGCCCTCGCCTGCTTAGAAGAATTTTGTAGTAGTTCAAGAGAAAAGGTACCAGGGCTTCATTAGGGGAGAGGGGCAGTGACATGCAAAGGAGGATGTATGGAAAAATTTAAAGAAAGATCCATTCCTACAAGTAGTCCTGGGTCCTTTTCTACAAGACAGGATTTACCTGGGCCATCCTAGACTGGGCTCAGAGGTTCATTCAGGCTTTTAGTGCTTTCTCACCACTTGTTAGTCCTGTAAAATGACCTGTTGAATCCTGGTCATTTATGGTCTATAGTCTCCCTAGCTTACCTGAGGAATATGCTTATGTGGGGAGGGGCAGGGGGCTGGAGAAGGGGATGCACAATTTAAAGAACCTAATCTGATCTTGACTCTGGTCAAGATCAGCCTATTTACTTCCAGCCCCAGAGTATCAACTGGATATGAGTTGGGGAAGAAGAGGGAAAGGAGTTATTATACGGGTGGCACTGCCTACCCTGGCCTCAGTATATACACCTGGGGCTGTTCCTAATGTTAGGCAATTGATTATCTTTGGCCATTTCTTCTAGCTCTGCTTTCTCTTTTAACAGGTCAAATGGATGATGTACTGGATTATATTTGCACTGTTCACCACTGCAGAGACATTCACAGACATCTTCCTTTGCTGGTAAGTGCTCCAAGATTGGACACTCCGAGTGTGTCTTATACACTCACACACAAGGGTAGAGAAGGGGAAGGGCTAAAACTGTGAAGCTTGCCTCAGATCAGAGAGCAGGGACCAGAAGTATTCATTGGAGCATATTATAAAAGTTGGCCTATAAAAGTTGTTCAAGCTGGGTGCCAGTGGCTTATACCTATAATCCTAGCTACTGAAGATTGAGGTTTGAAGTCAGTGTCAATAAGTAAATCTTGAGAGACACATATCTCCAATTAACTAGCAAAGAAGCCAGAATTGGAGCTGTGGTTCAAATGGCAGGGCGCACTAGCCCTAAGCACAAAAGCTCAGAGACAGCACCCAGGCCTTGTGATCAAGCTCCAAGACCAGTATAAAAAAAAGGTGGGGGGGGGGGATTGGTCTGGGAATGTAGCTCAGTGGTAGAGTGCTTGTCTAGCATGCATGAAGCCCTGGGTTTGATTCCTCAGTACCACATAAACAGAAAAATCCAGAAGTAGTGCTGTGGCTCAAGTGGTAGAGTGCTAGCCTTGAGCAAAAGAAGCTCAGGGACAGTGCCCAGGCCCTGAGTTCAAGTCCCAGACTGACCAAAAAAAAAAGTTTTCAAGTAAATATTTATGGTTAACCATGTAGAGCTACTATGCAAGAGGCAGTAGTGTAAAAGGGTAGCTAAGACAAGCATGGCCCTTCAGCCCGTCAGTGAATAGAGTTGGCAAAGAAACACTCATATCTCAAAAAAAAAAAAAAAAAAAGAGGAAGGAAAATAAATAAATAAATAAAGGTTTATTGATATACGGTCATGATAGCCGGGCGCCCATGACTCATGCCTGTAATCCTAGCTACTCAGGAGGCTGAGATCTGAGGATCACAGTTCAAAGCCAGCCCGGGCAGGAAAGTCCGTGAGATTTATCTCCAATAAACCACTAGAAAACCGGAAGTGACACTGTGGCTCAAGCGCTCAAGTGCTTGCCTTGAGCTGAAGAGTGCAGGGACAGCACCCAAGCCTAGAGTTCAAACCCCATGACCGACCAAATAAAAATAAAAATAAGGTCTTGATAATCAGCTAATGATTTGTATAAATAAGCCCCAGAGTCCCTTCTCCAACTTGGGATTCTGGAGTTGGTTTTGCATCATTTGCTGTTACTATATGAGTTTCTTTGGTGTGATAAAGTATTATTCAAAAAATATAAAGATATAGCCGTTTGGAGAAGATAAAGGTTTTGCCTGGCACCAGTGGTTCACATCTGTAATCCAGCTAGTTACTCAGAAGGCTGAAGTCTGAGGGTAACAGTTTGAAGCCAGTCTGGCCAGAAGTCTATGAAACTCTTATCTCTAATTAACAATCAAAAAAGCCAAAAGTGGAGCTGTGATTCAAGTGGCACAGTGATGGCTTTGAATAAAAGACAGAGTACAGGCTCTGAATTCAAGCCATATACAAAGAAAAAGGAAAAGAGTTCTTACCCACAAAAGTAGAGATATGGCTCAAGTAATAGAGTGTCAGGCTTGTGTCAAAACAAAACAAAACCTCTTACCTAGAAAGGACAAGTGTAAACTTACCCTTATCCTGTAGCATGTCCTACTCCTGGGACCAGGACTAAACAGCATTTCTCTGAACCTTATTTGGGGTCAATGACCTTAATTCTTTCTCTCCCTACTCCCTCTCTGTGTGTCTGTGTCTGCGTCTGTGTGTCTGTGTGTCTGTGTCTGTGTGTCAGTGTGTCTGTGTGTCTATGTCTGTGTCTGTGTCTATGTGTTTGTATGTGTTCTCATGCCCCAGTTCTGGGTAGTGAACTCAGGGTCTGGTGCTGTCCTTGAGTTTGTTTTTTTGATCATGGCTACCACTCTACCATTTGAGCCACAACTTCACTTCTGGCATTTTGGTGGTTAATTGGAGATAAGAATCTCATGGACTGCCCTGCCCTGGCTGGCTTTGAACTGTGGTGCTCAGATCTCAGCCTCCTGAATAGCTTGAATTACAGGCATGAGCCTCCAGTGCCCAGCTCTACCTAGACGTTTAGCTTACAAAAACTGTAGAATAAGCCGGGCACCAGTGGCCCAAGCCTGTAATCCTAGCTACTCAGGAGGCTGAGATCTGAGGATCATGGTTCAAAGCCAGCCCGGGCAGAAAAGTCTGTGAGACTCTGATCTCCAATAAATCACTAGAAAAACTGGAAGTGGCAGTGTGGCTCAAGCGGTAGAGCGTTTGCCTTGAGCTGAAGAGCTGAGGGACAGCACCCAAGCCCAGAGTTCAAGCCCCATGACTGACCAAAAAAACCCCAAAAAACTGTAGAATAATAACTTTGTGTTCTTTTAAGGGGCTAGATGTATAGTAACTTGTTATGCCTCCCCAGATAAAAATAAAATTGAATCCAAAAACAGTTTTTGAACACTTACTAAAATTCTGCCATGAGTAAGGGCACTTGGGCCAACTGAATTAAAATGAAGTTCAAGGAGTGACACTCAAAGGAGAAAGACAGTCCTCATTAGGCAGTATTTTCACCCAGCAAAAAAAGCAACACGAGGGCTGGGAAGGTGGCTCAGTGGTACAGCGCTTGCCTTGCATGCCTAAGGCCCTGGGTTCGATTCCCCAGCACCACATAAGTAAAAAGAAAACAGCCAGAAGTGGTGCTGTGGCTCAAGAGGTAGAGCGCTAGCCTTGAGCTGAAGAGCTGAGGGACAGCGCCCAGGCCCAGAGTTCAGGCCCCATGACCGGACCCCCCACCCAAAAAAAAAAAAAAAAAGCAACACGACTGGCATGTTGTTAACCACAAGAAAGAGTTCCTGAGTCTAACACTGTTGTTTCATAACATTTATGGGAAAGACATGGGGACAGCAGGAAGCTGCCCAGCACTAGACAGAGGCTGCATTAAGGAGAGAAGGCTCAAAGGCTTGAGGTGCTGGCCACAATATTAAATAAACTGTTCATTTCTCATTAGCCATGACATGGTCTCAAAAAACTTTTTTCTTCTGTAAACATCCTGGCCTTGAGGAGCTGAGAATCAGCTTATCCTAGGAGCTGCTGGATTCCTCCCCATCCTGCTTTTACATCCTGGCTTTGTGATAGGGATGGGTTGCTGTAGCAGCTAGAACACATGGGAAAAGTGGAAGAAAACATGTATAGTTTTGCTTTTAGTGAGTAAAAGGTTTAATAATTATGCTGACTTTATTAGTGTTAACTGAGTTTTGAGGCTTATAAGATCTGGAGACTGAAAGGATAGGGAAGAACATATACCATAGTTATTTATTTTGCTTTTTCATGTTCCTTGTGTCTTTTCTTTAATTTTTCCTTTGGTACTATAAAGGTGATGTACAGAGGGGTTATAGTTATGTAAGTCAGAGTATATTTCTTTTTGATATTGTCACCTCCTCCCTTACTCCATACCTTTTAATTTTTAAATTATTATTATTATTATTATTTTGCCAGTCCTAGGGCTTGAATCCAGGGCCCGGCACTGTCTCTGAGCTTCATTTGCTCAATGCTAGTACTCTACCATTTGAGCCACAGCCCTACTTCCAGCTTTTTCTGTTTTTAGTGAGGAATTGAACCAAGAGCTTTATGCATGCTAGGCAAGCATCCTACCACTAAGATACATTCTCAGCCCTTTTAAAACTATTGTTTTCTTTTTTTGTTTGTTTGTTTGTTGGTCATGAGGCTGGGCCTGGGCACTGTCCCTGAACTCTTCAACTCAAGGCAAGCACTCTACCACTTGTGTCACAGCGCCACTTCCAGTTTTCTGGTGGCTTATTGGAGATAAGAGTCTAACAGACTTTCCTGTCTAGGCTGGCTTTGAACCATGATCCTTAGATCTCAGCCTTGTGAGTAGCTAGGATTACAGGCATAAGCCACCAGCTCCCAGCAAATTATTTTTTGAGACAAGTGTCTCATAGGTTAGCCTAGAACTCCCCTTGTAACTCAGGCTGGCCTTGAACTATTGATCTTCCTCTTCCCTCCCTGCCATAAACCCAGTCCTGAGATTATAGGTGTATGCCTCTGTGTCCAGTTATGTCATGTCTCTTAATGGGTAGTAAATTATGGATCAAGACCCAGAAAGTACATTTGTCCTTCATTCCTAGGTGGTTCCTGACTATCTCAAAGGAGGCTACTTTTAACCAAAGTCTTTCCTGGGAGGGCTGGGAATTAGCAGACTCTAATGACTTCCTTTTTTTCTTTTTCATGCTCTGGAGAGTTAGGGTATCTTTTCATTCAAGTAACAAACCCACTTTGTTGAGATTCTTCTGTCATAAATTGATTTATTTTACCCCCAAATACTTCATTGAAAGCTTTATCACCCATGGTTAACAGTACCACAGAGTAGTGTTATTCAGTTCTAGAGCTATCTGAGAGAAAATACCATTGGGAAGCCATATTGGCCCCTCCAAACAAAGCCTGTTCTCTAAACTTGTAATGAAGATGCTCTGTTGGTGTGAGAAGACAAGGTCTGAGAAAGTGAACCTAGAAGCTAAGAGGTGATAAGGTTTTGAAAAGCTTCCTCAAAGCCAGGTACTGGTAATCCACCTAGAATCCTAGCTTCTTAAGGATGCTGAGATCTGGAGAGTCTTGATTCATATTCAGCAGGACAAAAAAGTTGGTGAGATTCCATCTGCAATTAACTAGCAAAATTTTAGACTGGAGATGTGGCTCAGATGGTAGAACATTATCCATGAACAAGAAATCCAAGTAAGAGCTCAAGGCCCTGGTTTCAAACTCTGATATTGGATTTTTTAAAAAGTTTAAGAGAATGGAGCTGTGGCTCAAGTAGTAGAGTGCCAACTTTAAGCAAAAAAGCTGAGATAGCAACCAAGCTCTGAATTCAAGCCCCAATACAGACACACACACACACACACACACACACACACACACACACACACACACACACACAAAATAAATAAAGAGACATACTAACTACTACCCATATCTATAAAATGATCAGCCCTTGGGAGGGAAAATGCTTTTAAAAGATCTCCATCAGCATGGCAGGGATAGACATACAGAAAAGAACCCAAAGAACAAGGATGGTTTTAAGAGAGAATAAAGGGGGCCTGGGTAGTCCCAAAGGACCACTAGTATCTAATATGGAAACTCATCCCACAAGCCCTAATCTTATAATCTAGGACAAGAGGCTGTTACGACTGGCCAGACACTGGCAGTGTGGCTGTGGTAGGTCAGGTGCTCCTGTTCAGGTTTGCAAAGAGGTGCTTTATCTGTCTATAAAGTGCACACAGAAATCCCACTCTTGACACTATGTTGAAAATAAACTTTACAACTTTGAGGGGGGGGAAGGGAGGAGTTGGGGAGATGGGGAGGGAAGGCATGGTAGGGGAAAAGCAAAGGAGGAGGTAACAATGCTCGATAGGAAATGCACTCATTACTTTATTCATGTAACTGTAACCCCTCTATCCAGTATCTTTACAATAAAAATATATATTAAAAAAAGAAATCCCACTCCTGGGCCTTTGTACTGTAGATGCATGTGCATGAGTATGTAAAGAAGCATACATGAAAAGGTTTATAGCCAATGATTATCATCCTGTGAATGTCTGCTGATGGGGCCCTGCACGATGCTGTAGCATTCATATGCAGCCATTGATAAGACTGAGGCAGCTGTCCCAAAAGTATATTGTGGTTTCTGTGGGTGTTATGGGAAGCTAGGTACTGAAAGGGATGCATAGAATGCTGCTGTGTATATTGAGGGCAGTTATGGAAGTCACGTATCTAACCCCTGCTTAACTCTGAAAGGGCACTGATAATACTTCTGCTTTTAGGAAAGGGACTAGCAGTCAGGAATAGCTCAGCAATGCTTTCTTACATACTCTTTTGTACTCTGAGATTTTTTTTTACCAATGTGCATGCATGACCTATATTTTAAAAATACATCTTTTCATAATAATAATAAAAAAAAACAACTGCAGTGCGGCAGCTGCCCTTGGGATTGTCTGTGTATCTTGTGTTGGTGCCTGAGCTTGCCAGATTCATTTGTTTTTTTCCCCCCTCAGGGATGGCAAATTCTTGTTTTCAAAACAAAAGTTCCTCAATTATTAATCACCAAAGTATTACACTGTGGGAGAATTATGCCTCTGTTCTTTCATCCCTTCTTTTGTCTGGCTATGAGCTGCTTAAACAATCTGCAGTGAAAATGCATCCCCTAGTTGCTGAGTGAAAACTAAAATAAGAGCCTGTAGAGGTAGAAAGCAGAAATGCCTAGGAACTGTGATTTGGAAGAGACAGAGGGTCCTGAAATGACTTGTTAAAATTTTGTTTTTAGCCAGACGCCAGTGCCTCATAGCTGCCATCCTAGCTTACTCAGGAGGTTGAGATCAGAGGATGGTGGTTATAAACCAGCCAGAGCAGGAAAATCCGTAAGACTTATCTCCAGTTAACCACCAGAAAACTTTGAGTGGTGCTGTGGCTCAAATTGGTAGAGCATTAACTAGCCTTGAACAAAAAAGCTCAGGGACATCAGGCTCTGAATTCAAGCCCCATGACTTACAAGAAAAATAAAATAACTCATCCCAGAAGGATGTGTGGTGATGATTTATTTTCTCATCCCTCAGTCTAGCACACATAACCTTCTCCTTTGTAATACCATGTTTTAAGGATAGCTTGGATTTGCTTTAAGCAGGTGCAGTGAGAGATGCTGACCTAACAAAGACAGGAAGAAAAAAGTTAGTTATACTCACAGATTCCTAGAAACAGGAAATCTGGTCCACCACCATTCAGGGCCACACAGGGAGGCACCCAAGTAGGTCAGGAGGCAGAGGGAGGAAAAGGTACAGGAAACAGAGGAGCTTTATTTCAGTTTCCACAGGAAGGAATGGGTGAGTCAGGGTAAGCAGGCTTGGGGTTAGCTAGTTACAAGAATTTCAAAGTGTTCTGGGAAACAAGGGATATCTCTGATCTTCGTGTGACTGGTGCAGGTGGCTTGAGAATTAAAGCAGGAGATCCAAGCAGAGGATGTGGCCGGAATATGGGCTTTGGATTGATTGATTGAGATAGGAAAGGTGTGTTTCCAGGTATTGTCTTTGCTCTTTAGGAACTTGCTCACTATGTTAGGGGCAGTATGGAACAAGATGTCAAACCATCCAAATACAATTTTTTTTTTTTGGGTCCGGTCATGGGGCCTGAACTCTGGGCCTGGGCACTGTCCCTCAGCTTTTCAGCTCAAGGCTAGCGCTCTACCACTTGAGCCACTTTCCCAGCCTTCAAATACAAAAATTTTTGAAAAGTCATGACTGTTATACCTGCACAGGTTATCCCAAGCAGACAGCTGTCTGAGCTGGTAAGCAAGCCTGAAATCTAGACCAAGCCTGCTTGCTAATTTGTGTGCCTATAGAACTGAACTCATTGATGGACCTAACTTCTGCTACTGTACTCCAAGATACCATGTTGGCTAGCTAAATTTCACCATAACATTTCTCAGATTACTATTCAGTGTCATTTGTGATTATCTTATCCATCTCTATTTCCCTGACTGTATTCCTACTTCCAAGGATACCAGAATTTTGTCTCTTTTTGCAGTCTTCAAGAAGTCAGGGAATCAGATCTTTGCTCACTATTGTCTCCCTGAATGAGACATACGTAGGTGCTGGGTGGAGGTGAATGAATGAATAGGCTCAAAGGTATACAGGTCTTTAGACACCAGACTTGTATATTGCCTATACCCCTAAGCTTTTCTTTCTTTTGACACCAAAAATGTCAGGATGTCTCCAGGTGCCAGTGGCTCACGCCTGTGATCCTAACTACTCAGAGGCTGAGATCTGAGGATTGAGGTTTGAAGTCAGCCTGGGCAGATAAATCCGAGCAACACCTCCAGTTAACCAGCAACATGCCAGAAGTGGAGCTGAGGCTGGGTTGGTAGATCACCAGCCTTGAGCAAAAAAGCTAAGGGGCAGTGCCCAGGCCCTGAGTTTAGGCCTAGTATGACTGAGTGGGTGGGGTAAGTAGTATTTGTATTTTCTTCTCTGGCAAAGGTTGGGTTTGCCTCTATTCCAGGGAAAGGCTTTGGGGAGGGAAGTGATGATAGGGGAAAAACAAAGAAGAAGGTAACAATGCCCAATAGGAAATGTACTCATTACCTTACTCATGTAACTGTAACCCCTCTGTACATTATCTTTACAACAAAAAATATATACTAAAAAATAAAAGGAAAGACTTTTACATTCAGTGTGAAGACTGTGAGCTCCACCCTAATGTCATTCCCTTGGTGTCCATGCCTTGGCTGTGACTAAAGTTGACAACTGAGTGCACAGACATGGTCCTATTCTTCTCAGTTGCAGCTGGAGCCACATGCCAACCTGTGTATCGACACAGAAAGCACCAGAGGCTGCCAGATAGGGCCACGGGGAAATTTTAAATGAAAATGGGTGTTCCTCGTTCACTTGGGAAAAAGAAGAAAACTGGAACTGGCTCTCAGAGAGAGACACTGGTAGTGCTGAGTATTCATATGTTTGCACACATGCCTTCCACAGGTAGAAGATGAGGAATAAGGGACCCTTGCAGCCATGTGCAGGTAGAAAAAGTATTTACGCCAAACTGGGTCTCATTCTTCATAGTCTCAAGCAGTGCTTCTGAGACCTAACAGCATGTGTTCTTTTTTTTTTTTTTAATCTCTCCAGGTTTCCATTCTATTATGAACTAAAAATAGCATTTGTAGCCTGGCTGCTGTCTCCCTATACAAAAGGGTCCAGCCTCCTGTACAGGAAGTTTGTACATCCCACGCTGTCTTCAAAAGAAAAGGTAAGTTATACTGCTGTACTTCAGTAAGTGGTAAATAAGAAAAGCAGATAAAAGTGGTAAATAAAAAAGCAGGTTATATATTACAGGAGATCCCCTGCTTGGTTCCTAATTCCCTACAGCTATGCTTCCACTGCTTGGACAACTATAAGAGTCTCAGCCCTAGGTAATAAGATTAGGGCTTGTGGGATGAGTTTTTATATTAGATCCTGAGTAGTCCTTTAGGACTGCCTAAGTCTCTGCTACCAACCATCCCTATATTTTGTGTTCTTTTCTGTATATCTGTCCAATCCATGCTGATGGAGCTTTTTTTTTTTTAAGAATGGTATTTTATGGATATAGGTACTAGTATGCTTCTTTATGTGTGTGTGTATGTGCCAGTACTCAGGCTTGAACTTGGGGCCTGGGCACTGTCCCTTAGCTTGTTTTGCTCAAGTCTGGTACTCTACCACTTGAGCCAGAGATCCACTTCCTTAAGCTTTTTTTAAATTTTTAAAATTTTGTTGGTCGTGGGGCCTGATCTCTGGGCCTGGGCACTGTCCATCAGCCCTTCAGCTCAAGGCTAGCACTCTACCACTTGAGCTACAGTGCCACTTCCTACTTTTTCTGCTTATGTGATGCTGAGGAATCGAACCCAGGGCCTCATGCATGCAAGGCAACTACTCTACCACTGAGCTACCTTCTCGGCCCCTTCTTTAAGCTTAAAAAATATTTTCATTATTATAATTATATATTTGGAAACATGATAATTCAATACATTTCTATAATTTATAATGATCAAATCAAGATACCTAACACATCTATCTCCTTACATGTGTGCACACACATACACACACATATATTTTTTGGTCAGTTGTTGTATTTTCAGTACTGGGAATTGAACTCAGGGCTTTGCACTTTTAGGCAAGCATTCTACCACTCAATCCACACCCACAGTCCTTTTTTTAGTTTATGTTTTTCAGATAGAGGCTCTTAATAATTTTGCTTAGGTCAGCTTTGGACTGCCGTCCCCCAACCTCTGACCCTTGAGTAGGTGGGATTACAGGCATGTGTTATCACACCTGGAATTTTTTTTTAGTTTTTTTTTATTAACATAATAATTGTGCATACTTATAAAGTCTACAGTGTAATAATTCAGTGCATATGTATAATTATACTAGTTAAGTCAGAATAATTAATATTTCCATCTCCTTATTATTACTTTGTGTTTGGGGCCTTCAAATTACTTTCTTCTATTCATAAAATATGTACACTATTGTGACCTGTAGTTACCCTTATGTGCTTTAGAAATACAGAAATATTACTTCTATCTGACTGCATTTGGGCACCAACTATTGAGTTCTGTCCCTCCCTCAATCCCTTCTCAGATTCTAATCTATGGTTAGATTGGCATTTTTAGCATGAGCATATGAGAGAGACCAGGCAGTTTTTAATTTTTCAGTGTTTGATTTACTTTTAAAGTTTTTAGTAGCACACATTAATTATACAAAGGAGTTTTATTGTGATTTTCCAAATTTCCAATTCTCTTGAATTATTTCACTAAACATAATATCCTGTAGTTGCATCCATTTTTGTTTTAAATGATAAGATACCAATCTTTTTTTTTTTTTTGGGTCCAGTCATGGGGCTTGAACTCTGGGCCTGGGCGCTGTCCCTCAGCTCTTCAGCTCAAGGCTAGCACTCTACCACTTGAGCCACAGCACCACTTCCAGCTGTTTTCTTTTTGCTTATGTGGTGCTGAGGAATCGAACCCAGGGCCTCAGGCATGCAAGACAAGCGCTCTACCACTGAGCCATCTTCCCAGCCCATAGGATACCAATCTTTTTATGGCATGTAACATTCCATTGGACGTATAGTTTATTTACTCATCCATTGATGGGCAATTGAAGTTGATTCAATATTTTAGCTTTTATGAATAATACAACAATAAAGTACAAAAATAAAATGCTTATCTCAGTATGTGTTGGAAAAAGCATTTGATAAATTTCAACATTCCTTCATGATAAAAACTTTCAACATATTAGACATAGAAAAAAATATACTCAGTGGGGAAAAACTGAAAGCTTTTCTTCTACTATCTGGAATAAGTCAAAGATGTCTTATTCACTCACCATTCTTACTAGCTCATTCACCACTCTTATTCAACTTAGTACTGGAAGTCATAGCCAGAGGAGGGAGGCAAGATAAATAAATGAGACATATGAATTACATGAAGGAAAATCAAATTACCTGTTTATAATTATTAAGGTTCTACATAGAGAAAAAATTGGACTTCACTATTCATCTATAAGCACTGATCAATTTAGTGAAATGACAGGACACAAATCAACATGTAAAATCAATAGCATTCTTTTTTGAGGGGGTGGAATGATGCTGGAGATCAAGTCCCAGGATCTCATACAAGTACTTAGGCAAGTACTCTACCACCGAGCTACGACCCCTGTCTCAGTAGCTGAGTAGATAGATAATCATGAACATCTTCTCCTTTTTAAAGTGTATTTTTGTACATATCTAAAAGCAGTGATGAAATTTTATAAAATATATTGTTATTATTGGTTGTAAGGCATTACTATAAATTAAAAGAAAGACAATTTCGCTCATAATTTAACTCTTCAGGGCTGGGAAGGTGGCTCAGTGGTAGAGTGCTTGCCTTGCATGCCTGAGGCCCTGTGTTCAATTCCTCACCATCACATAAGCAAAAAGAAAAAAGCTGGAAGTGGCGCTGTGGCTCAAGTGGTAGAGCGCTAGCCTTGAGCTGAAGAGCTGAGGGACAGCACCCAGGCCCAGAGTTCAGGCCCCATGATCGGACCCAAAAAAAACCAATAATTTAACTCTCCAAATTAAACTTCCTCTTATCATGCATAGCTTCTGTCCTTTTTGCAGATAACTGTGTGCATAGACTGTATACACAGACAGTGTACAATTTTACTCAGACTTAAAAATGGTTTTAAAACTTAACATATGCCAGACATGGTGATACCTGTGTAGGATGAGCTATCTGTGAAGCTGTGGCAGGCTTGAGGCATTAGTTGAAAGCCAGTCTAGGAAACATAGTGAGACTCCATCTCAAACACAAATAAACAACCAAAAAAAAAATACCCTAACAATTCTAGGCACTAATGTCTCCTGCCTACAATCTTAGCTATTCAGGAGTTTGAGATCTGAAGATTGAGGCATGAAACCAGCTCCAGCAGACAAATCTGAGAAACTCTTACCTCCAATTAACTAGCAAAAAGCTAGGAGTGGAGCTATGGTTCAAATGGTAAGAGTGCCAGCTTCAGTGAAAAAGCTAAACAACAGCATGTGGCTCTGAGTCCAAGCCCCAGTACCAGCACACACCAACCCCCCCCCCACACACACAACAAAGATAATTTGCATTCTGAGATCTTAAGCATGTTTGCACATAATCCATATCTTGGTACTCTTCATAATAACTCATGGTGATAGAGCTCTTTCCTTCCTGCTAGATACTTAGATTGTTTTCTTCCTGTAGAAAATTCTGCAGTAAACACCACCTCATATAGAGTTTAATTTCTTCCTTTATCTAAGAATAAATAAGAGTGGGATTAATGGATTAAAAGAGTCCAGCATCATATAAATCATTAGTTATATTGCTTTCTAAATCTGATTGTGTAGTAGAATTTTTTTCAAATGAAATAGGATGCCTATAGGTAGCTCCTGTTGATATTTATTTCTGTAGTTCTGCAAGATAAATTCTCTGGATTTCTCCTAGGGGAAGAATTTGGGGAACACAGCAGTTGGATAAGCAGGCTGTTGTAGACATTTCTGAAAATCCTTTTAGGAATCAGGACTATAGCTCTTCCTTTGTCTCTGAAGGATTTTTGATCTGGCCACCATCCTACTCTCCCATAATTTCCCCAAAGTCAATGTCATTTCCATTGAAGGGGAGGTAACTGCCTCTTAAGAGCTGCCAAGAATCACTGGCCTAGTTGGTCATATCACAGTTAGAAGGCTTGCTGCTGCGACCTCCTGGGAAAGCTGTGCACAGGGAATCCAGGAGGGCTGCTGAGCCCTCCTACACCCCTCAAAGCAAAGCAAACACTGATGTGCTGAACTTCAAATGAGCCTGAGGTCTCAGGTCATTGTCTTACTGAAGTGCTGGAGCTATAAAATAGCCTTTCTTAAAACAATGATACTCACAAAACAACTCAAAACAAATAGATGCTGGAGCTATAAAATAGCCTTTCTTAAAACAATGATACTCACAAAACAACTCAAAACAAATAGATGAACACCATAAACCGGAGTTGATCCGAATTTGAATCAAACTGATATTATACTTGGCTTTGGTACAAGAAAGAGACCTCAATTCTGTTTTCCACTTCACTTATACATGCTTTATGAGCCCAGATGACTTTAATTTCTCTTTGCATCCCAACATCTATATCTATCAACAAAATAACAACCATTTATTTCTATATCTGGTTCTTCCTTCCCATTGATAGATACATGGGACAGTATTTGTGTTTTTTATTTTTGGAGCTTGAACCCAGGCCTAGTCACTGTCTCTAAGCTATTTTGCTTAAGACTATCATTTGAGCCGCAGCTTCACTTCTGGCTTATTGGTCATTAATTGGTGATAAGGGTCTCACAGATCTTCCGCCCCAGGCTGGCTTTGAACTGTGAATCCTCAGCTATTAGCCTCCTCAATAGCTAGGATTACAGAAATGAGCCACTAGCACCTGGCCAATATTTGGTTTTAGACTTTCATGACTATAGAATAACAAATTTTTAGAACTGCAAGGGTCCCCACTCCTTGAAGGCAAGGAAGGTACCTCTGGCTATCCCTGACAGAAAACAGCTGTTAGGCTTAGGTTTCATTGTTCTTCTCTTCTGGTCTCTTCTCTTCTGTCTGTTCTCCTCTCTTCTGTTTTGTTTTGTTCTCTTCTCTTCTCGTGTGTGTGTGTGTGTGTGTGTGTGTGTGTGTGTGTGTGTGTGTGTGTGTGTGTGTGTGTGTGTGTGTGTGTGTGTGTGTGTGTGTGTGTGTGTGTGTGTGTGTGTGTGTGTGTGTGTGTGTGTGTGTGTGTGTGTGTGTGTGTACTGGAGGCCAGTATAGAAAACCAGTGATCAGGCAAGCTGGCAGGCCCAGCACTCAGGAGAAAGAAAAGAGAGACTTGACCATGCCAACTCAAGGCCTTGTGCTCTCATTTGGCTTTTTTTTTCCATTCAAGATTAGTATTCTTCCACTTAAGCCACTCCTTCACTTCTGGATTTTTGCTGGTTAATTAAAGCCACTCGTGTCTGGCTCATTCTCCTTACTTTTCAGAAGACAAAATTGTGTAGAGACTACAACAAAAGCAAATATTAGGAGCCAGTGACTCATGCCTACAATTCTATGTACTCAGGAGGCTGCAATCTGAGGATTGTGGTTAGAAACCAGCTTAGGAAAGAAAACCTGTGAGACTCTTATCTCCAATAAACTATCAAAAATCTGGAAATAGAGCTGCAGCTCAAGTGATAGAATGCTAGCCTTGAGCAAACTAATCTCAGGGACAGTGCCCAGACCCTGAGTTCAAGGCCTAGGACTGGTGCATGCACATGTGCACGCGCACAAACACACACACACATTCACAGAATATTAGGGAGGTGAAACATGTATTATCTTGGATGTGGATACTAACAGGACAGGGGAAGGCAAATGGAGAGGGTGGATGAGGATGAATATAGTCAAAATACTTTATGTGTGAAAATCAGACAATGAAGCTTACTCAGATAGGTTTGGGAAGGGGAGAGAAGGAAGAATGATAGAGGAGGTGAGTATGATCAAAGTACTTTGTATCCATATATAAACATGTCTAAACAAAACTCCCATACAGCTAATTGATGCTAAGAAATTAAAAAAAATTAAAACACAACAACAAATAAAAACATGTTCAGAGGCTAGGTATGGAGCTAGGTACCTAAGGATGAAACCACCTTGGGGAATCAGAGGCAGAAGGATCTGAATTCAAGACAGACTGAACTATGTAGTAAGACATTGTCTCAAACAAAAGAATAAAAATAGACACCAAATATAAAGTAAGCCAAGGCCTTATAGCCAGTAAGTGGCATGTCTGCAGTTAGGAGCTGGATTTTTGGCATTTTCTCATGCTAGGTTCTTTCAATGTTTATGTCCAGAGTCTGTGCCCACTGCCACTGGGCATAAAATGGCAGGATTGTCATATCCCTGGAAGTTAGAGGAACTTTATAAAGAATTCTAGGGCGTTGTTGGCGAGTAAGTTGTAATTTTTTTTAAAAAAAATTCTCTTTTACACTCACCTGCATCTCGTCTGTCTGTCTCTACCCTCCTGTTTACATACATGTATTCCAGTTGTCTATGTTTCAGGCCCTTGAGAATCAGTGGCAGGCCCAGCACTCAGGAGAAAGAAAAGAACACATTTGAACATGCCAACTCAGTGTGCCCTGTTTCCTTTGACAGGAAATTGATGATTGCCTGGTCCAAGCAAAAGATCGAAGTTATGATGCCCTTGTGCACTTCGGGAAGCGAGGCTTGAACGTGGCGGCCACAGCGGCTGTGATGGCTGCTTCCAAGGTATTGTGTCAGATTCTTGAGCACCATGACTGCCAGGTATCTCAGTCCTTCCAATCCTCTCTACCTGCCACACCTACCATAAAGGACAAGCTAAGGGACCATTCAGTGTTCCTCTCTGTTTCTGTCTTTGTCTTTCTCTCTTTCTCTTTCTCTCTCTATCACACACACACACACACACACACACACACACACACACACACACACACACACACACACACACACACACACACACACACACACACACACACACACACAATGTGTTCAATATCCAAAAGTTCCTAAGACCCAAGGTCCACATAGTCCCAGGTTAAGAATCTGGAGGTGAAACCTGAGAGACAGACCAAAGAGAAAGGAGGGAGATAGAAAAAGGGTACTTCTCTGCAATTAACAGCTGCATTAAGACAGTCATCAACAATAGCCAGAGACCATCTGAGTGAATGGGTAGACTCACTTCGTGCTCATGTGGCCCAGCAGAGCCAGAAGACATCCAGGATCCTAGAGCAAATTGGATGGTCTTAATGACTTTCAGAATACTAGTAAATAAAGTGAAGGAGGCTTGAAATAACATTTCTCCTGGAATATTGCAATATGATCCTTCTTTCTCTTTTCTGCTTAGCCCTTTGGCAGTGTCTTCTGTCTCCTAGCTCCTTCTCACATCATACCATCATTGTGTTAGTTTCTCATTATTTCTTCAGACCTGAAGAATGAAATTGGTGGAACACTCCTTCTTAAATTTATCAGGTTTCCCTAGTGTTTCCTAGTGGCCACCCCTCCCCGGGAACCCAGATGTGGGGTGAGGGTCCCACTGGTAGTCACACTGGTATTTTGGAAGACATAATAATTGTATTAGCAAAGGAAGGTTATAAATCCTGGATGGTGGCTCTGGTATTGGAGGACAGAGGTGGTAGAGTTGTGCAAAGGTTTTGGAGAGGGAGATAGTTACAGATCTTTGTACTCTGTGAGCTTTGAGTGGATGGCAGAATGGAATGTGCTGAGAACCAGCTGGCTCAAGGGGTGGAGCTAGGTTCCCAGGGTCCTGAACTAGGAGGAAGCCAATGGGAAACATTTCTTGGAGCAGAGCTCAGCACACAAGGTTGGGTGGCTATTTAAAAGCCCCTTCTGCCTGAAGTCAGGAAGTGCTTGGGGAAAGTGGCACTGTGGCTCAAGTGGTAGAGTGCTAGCCTTGAGCTGAGGAGCTCAGGAACAGTGCCCAGGCCCAAAATTCAAGACCTACAACCAAAAAAAAAAAAAAAAAGAAGAAGAAGAAGAAGTGCTTGGGTCAGGTGCTTAGAGAGAGGGAATGAGAGCCAAAAGGAACAATTCTATTTTCAGAAAAGGACCAGCACCTTCTGTCACACATACCAGTGGGGACGTGTCCAAAACTCCATATGTTGGTGTCCACAGGACCCTCTCCTGCCTTGGTGTAATAGGTCTGGCTAGGTGATGAATCCCAGAGAGCCTCTTGGGAAAGGACAGTTCACTTTGATATCCAGAGGAGATGTAGCAGGATTTACAAAGAGCAGTGACAACCCCAAGAGCCATCAATTGTAAAGCTCTTGGTTGTATGCTGAAAGAAAAGAGCGCTGAATCCATCAGGCCAATCTTGTAACACAAAGTCAAAGAAAACCTTTCTCAGTCCCTTTCTGTACCCTATCTCTGCCTCTGGAGCCTAAAGGAAGTTTGGTAGTGCTTTTTCCTCAGGTTAGTTAGAGCCTAAGTGTGGTGTATTTTGTCAGATGTATTTGCATCCATAACCTTTTCTATCCTTTTCCAAGTCTGCCGCAAACTGGAGTCTTTATGCCCTCTGGCCAGTCACCTTCTGTTCTCCTAACTATCAGGATAAACTTGTGGTCCTAAGATTTCTCCAATTAGGCACCTTACAACAGCTCTAGACAATCTGAAATTTGCCTCAGGAAATAACTGCTCATTAGTTCCACTAAAGTAGGAGCAAGGGACATCTGCTTTGTGTTGAATTTGGTTTCAGACAAGAAAATATAAGCTTTGCTTATTCTTCCTCAATATAAGTATCTGAAGAGAGGAAACACATCTCTTCCAAAAATAGTGCCCTATATTTTTGAAACATGTGTGCTTTGCAGGGGATTGGGGCAGTAATAAACTCCCCAGATCTGGTCAGGCTGGGGAAGTTCATCCATGGTTTCCATAATAATAGTACCAAGCTGGGTCAGTGGATGGTGACTTACCAGTGGGTCAGTGAGTCCATATCCGATTTTCATGCCCCAATCCACCTGGGAAACTTTTTTTTTATATTTTAAATAGGTGCTTAGATGTGCTAAATCAAAATCTCAAGTAGTGGACACATGAATCTCTCTTTTTCTTTTTCCTTCATGGGACTTGAACTCTGGGCCTTCCTCAGCTCTTCAGCTCAAGGCTAGTGCTCTACCACTTGAGCCACAGAGCCACTTCCAGTTTTCTGGTGATTTATTGGACTTTCCTTGCCCAGTCTGGCTTTGAACTGCGATCATCAGATCTTGTCCCCTGAGTAGCTAGGGTTACAGGCATGAGCCACCAGCGCCCGGCATGAATCTCTATTTTTTACAAGTTTCCCAGATGATTTTTAAAAGTCTAGCTCTGCTTGAGGCCCCATGCAGAGCCAAGAGCATTGGTGGTTAGGGTTCCTCAAGTTAATGTTGTATTTTTCCTGGGATGCCCATTTAGCTCACTAGAGCATATACTTTGAAATGGAAGAGAGCAGTGTGTGTGTGTGTGTGTGTGTGTTTCTCCAAAAGTTAATGCCAGTTGAGAAATGTAGTAAGTTCTGAGAAACTCATGCTTAGGTGACCTGGCCATTGTGCTTACACAATATACTTACACAAACCCATCTGGACAGTTCATGCCACCTGTAGTGCTAGGCTAGATGGCACATCCTGTCTTATATGAGAAGGCAAACATTGTTACACAGAGCATGTCTATGCTATGGTAGGACTACAAATTCTACCAGGTGATGGGATCAAAGAGCCAGATCTTCCTTCCTCTTCTGCTCTTTGTTCTATCCTTTGATGGCTCTAGGAGGGTACTGTGGAGCTAACACATAAAAATAAAAGATCTTCTGAGCATAGTAGTAGTTAATGCTTATTGTCATAATACTGAGCCCTGAAGGACTGGGGGAGCTGGGGTGCAGGGGTGTGGCTCAAGTAGTAGGACTTTTGCCTAGCAAGCACAAGATCTTGAGTTCAAATCCCATGCAAAAAACAAAAGAAGAGGAAAAAAATCTGGAGGAAAAAGAACTTTATGTAATCAGAACCTTATTCCAGGAACGTCATAAGTTTCTGACCTGACCCAATCAGCCTACTTGTGTATAAATTAATCAAAGGGAAGGCCTTGATTTTCTCCTAATACCTCCTGTGAAGGTATTTCCAAGGAAGAGAAGAGATAAGGTCTGTCCTTTCTCTGTGTGTCTGGGTCTCTCTTCTTTGGCTTTTCTCCCTCATTGCTGAGTATACGGGCTGAGGACTCCAGAATCCCAAATCTGTCCCTTTGCCCTTCAGAGGAATGCCTCCTGGCCTCCCTCGTAGCTTGCATGCAGTTAATCTTCTTCTGTTTCAGCTTAGGACTGTGAGACATAACATTAATATTTAGAGTTCACCATGGCAACTGGTTTTGGATGCTAGGATTATCTAAATGGTTATAGGCAATCAGCTGAAACATTTGGGAGTGTTCTCTGCCTTCTGGTCTCTCAAAGAACCACTTGGAATTGAGCTTCCTTTTGTTTTTTTCTTTTCCCTTTTTGCCACACTGAAAACTGCACCTAGGGTTTGCTAGGGAAGCACTCTATCATGTAGCTATTCTCCCAGCTCTGTATCTTCACTTTCCAAAACCCATGAAAGCAGAACTGAGCAAGACTTTTCACCAGTATAGATTCACTCTACATGCCGCTGTCATTCCTGTCTTGGATTCCTGTTTTTTCCCCAGTGTTTCTACTTACGATGATACCTGCTCACCTCCTTCTGCTGAGCAGAGAGGTGGAATCTTGATGGCCAGCTGAAATACAAGGGCCTGGAATCCACATAGAGTAGCTGGTTGGATGTTACTTGCTCCTCATGTTCCACGCTTTCCTATGGTGCTTAGGGACCCTGAAGTATCCCAGGTTGGGGCCAGAAAATAGCCTAGTTGAAGCTAGAAGACCTCAGGGAACAGACTGAGATCATTGAGAATAAAGAGCTAGTCCCTTACTTATGGGACAAGGTGCTCATGGGCACCTCACACTCCCTCCCTTCCTTTCCTCCTTCAATGATGGATGGATTACTCTGGGCCCAAACTTTCTCTTTTCTTTCCCTGCCAGCACCATCTCATCCTTTATCTACCTTCAGCTGTCTCACAGTATAACTTGTTTCCATGTTGGTTTCTTTGCCTGCAGTTCAAGTCCAGTGTTTATGGTTTTCTGCCGAAACCTCCTTGTCTTATTAGTACCTTTCATCAACACTCCACTAATGACAACTCTTCCATCCTCTGTTGTTGCATAATTGCTAACCAAACCAGAATCCTCTCAGACACCCAGGGCTCCAAGTCTCAATCATTTTTGATACCCTACCTTTTCTTTGTGTGTGGGTTTTTGTTTTCTTTTGGCAGTGGGAGGTTTGCCTATCCTGGAGGCTAAACTCAGGGCTTAGGTGCTGTCCCTGAGCTTAGATACACCACTTTCTTAAAGTTCTCTCTTAAAGTTCTCTCTTAAAGTTCTCATCACTGAATATCAGTTGTTTTTTTTTCCTTCTGGGCTTTTTCCCTGTCTGACCCCGACCCTCCCTTGTAGCTAGGACTCACAAAAGTCATCAGTGCTCTTCTCCCTTTCTCTTTGAGGGTTACACAGTCCCACCCAAACTTCCAATCTAGTTAATCTCACTTTACCTTTCTATCCCTTTTGGTATTGTGCCCTTAATACCACATTCTTATTGTTCTAGAAATAGCAACTATGTATACTGTTTATAGAGTATTCTCATTCCTGCCTCTATTTTTTGCTCTTTTTTGGTCCTCTGTCTGTGTCT